GTACGATAAGACATATCAAGACAAAGCACGTTAAAATCAATGACGAGGCACTTGCTCAGCACGTGAGTCTATATCAAGCACGAGCCAACCTTTCGAAAATTTAGGCACGGCATGAAACTCGTGGGCCGAGCCATGAGCCGGCCCTAGCTTACTCCAAAGCACGTGAGCATGGCAAGAGGTACGACCTAACATGGCCCAATTGCCCAAAGCCATCTTTAGGTACACCCAGGCCGTGTACTCTAAAGTTAAGTGCATTGAAGGATTTTATCTATTTGTTCATTTATGTAATAGTAAAATTGATCAAATTAGCGAAAGATCAATTATTTCAGGTACCATGCTTTTGTGAAATTTTTCTAGTTCATTGTTAGATTGAAAATGAATTAGAAGAGAGGTTTGGCCAAAAAGTTAAATATAAAAAAGAATTGTTGTACGAGTTTTATGGAAGAGATCATTGGCCAGGATCTTACCTTCTTGGTTGCTTATAAAGGGTCAATATGCCATACATACAACCATACAATAGGAGAATTTTACTCAATGCAATCCGTATAACTGTAGTTACTGTACAACTATCTATCCTAAAATCAATTGATAATAGGTGGAGTATTTCACCCATCTTATATTATACAAGCTAAGTTAATCATTATGGAGCATTCTTTATTAGATACTCTCTCAACCAAAAGTTTAAGCTGATAGTTAAAACTCACGATTGATTTATTTTGTGCCAACTACTGCCAACTTATATGTAGGAATGTAGGATATTTCTCCCTCAAAAATTTCATTGAAAGGGGAGGTGAGTTTCCATTATTTTCTCGATTGTAAAAGCCTAAAAGGATGGTGTTATGAAAGAGGGAGGATTATTAATGGATCCCCTCTTTAGGCTCTCTCCTTTTTTCTTTCCCCTAATAATTTATTCAAACAAAAAAATTTATTCCAGTTCCTTTTCCCTTCCCTCAGCTCATTTCCTCTCCATTTCCTCTTGTCCAAGTAAAATGTTAGCGTATATATTTATAATATATATTTGGTACGTAATAGTTTTACTAGAAAATAGTTAAAAATATTAATAGTCAAACTTGTGTATTGATAAATTTTATCTATAGTTTGTTTTTCCAAGTTCTTCTTTACCACCCAATTTTTTTATTTTATCAAATTTTACTTTATTCTTTGTGATAATCTACGTTTATTGTTTTTAATCATATAAGGCCCCATTATATGAGATCACTTTATACTTTTATAGTTAACTAGTTTAACTCCCATGCAATGCACGGTTATTATTAAATCTTATAAAGAGTTATTATATTGAATTTTATAAAAAAATATACTCATAATACTAATTCAAAAATAAATATAACTTTAAAATCATACCTAGGTATATCAATGTTGAGAATAGTAACACTTAGACTTGATTTTATTTTTTTAAAGGGGTCTATGAGGTTTTATTTTAAAAAGTAAAGAACTAAGGATAGTATCCGCACATGTGCTTTATTATTGATACGACTTTAAGAGTAAAAAATAAAGTGTATATGTGTGTTAACAAAATGTTTTTATTTTTTATTGAATTGAATATTATTGCAAAAGTAACAAAATTAGAAAAAATGAATAAATAAATAAAAAGTTGATAGTATTAACGGTAACTAAGATAATATAGAGTAATATTGATGTGTCTTTTTTTTTTTTGAACATATATAGAGGCGATAGAGTAGTATTGTTTAATAATATTGTCATTCATTTTTTTTACAAAAAAAAAAAAGAAAAAAAACCTTATATTATTTTTGAAAAAAAAAAACTTATATTAAATACTACGTTTATGTAAAAATATATTAGTTGGGTTTATATGGAGAATTATTATTGTTAATAATTTTAATGGGAAAAAAGATGTTTTGGATTATTATAATTTACTTTCCTTAAAAAATATGTGGGAAAACGGAAAGCAAAATGGGCGGGAAAATTACTAATAACATCGTGACAAGTGTTATTTTAGATTTTCTTTTAGTATAGGTTAATTGATATGTCTCATACTCTCTCTGTCTCCTTCTTTGTAAAATTAAAGTAAAATTATGTAACATATTAGTTGCTATGATAAATTGATAATTAAGTAGAAGTTAAGAAAACAAGGAAACTATATATATGTGCAGTGTATCAATTAAAATGTTGCGATTACTTTTTGAAAAAGAAAGATAAATGAAGATGATATAGCACACTGCACACGCGAAGGTAGACATTAGACCTCTCAACTATTTTTTTTTTTTTTTTTTAAAAAAAAAGTCTTAAAGGACACTAAATTTCATTAATATAAGTCATACGGCATCTACAATTGACAATGAACGATAATGAAAACGAATTTAACAAAATCAAACAAGAATTAATCGGGGAATGGCTAAGAATCCAAATGCATAAATATAACAATTCGGCATATTCTCGATTCGTTGTCTCATACAACTTTTTGAGTGGATCCGTCGTCACTTCGCAATTTTGTGAGAAAGTGAATTCTTGTGCTAATTTCATAACTAGGGGGTGGCAATATCATCCAAACCCGATGGATAACCATCCACCCGATCCAAATATATGGATGAAAACCCGAACTTAAGCGGATGACGGATGAATGATGGATGGATCGGGTCGGATACGGATGATGATACATCCAACCCATCACCCGACCCATCCATCCACCCGTTAAATTTATATATAAAAAAATAAAAATAAATATTTTTTTTAATAATTTAATGTCTATTGTAGTGTTATGAATTGACATTTGTTTTAATTTAGTTAAAAGGAACAAGTATTAGAAAGATGTATCAAAGTTTTAATAAAATTGATCACTTTTTTTGTCAAATCTTGATTTTAATTATGAAAATGAAAAGTTATATTTATATATTTATTTCACCCGAGTTATCACCCGATTCATCCATGGATGACGGATGGATCGGATGTGGATGAAAAAAAATTAGGTGATGGATGGGTCGGGTGATGGATGGATCGTTGGTGGATGGAGGCGGATGAAGCATCACCCGACCCACCTCCGATCCATTGCTATCTCTATCCATAACCGGAATCCGAGCCACAACCAATAGTAGCCCCGCACAACCGGAGACCAAATTAAGCACAAATAAAATCTTGTCTTTTGAAGGAGTACGAATAACCTTGTCTTTCGAAGGAGATCGAAAAAACCTTGTCTTTCGAAGGAGAGAAACCCTTTATTTTGAGGGAGATATTATTGTAACCTAAAACAAAAGGCTTAAAAGTAAATAAAGATTGGGGCTTTCCACCGGTGAAATCCGATGGAAGCCCCTTTAAAATTGACAATGGAGACTAGGTTTAAGAGAGAGAATCTTATCAAAAAAAAAAATTTAGGAGAGAGAAGAGAGAAAAGTAGGCCTCTCAACTATTGGTTATTGGTTATCGAAATTAAGAAAAAAGGGTGGCGAATCCAAGAAGAAAGAGTAGGATGGCCGAGGGAAGTGTCTTTGTAGTTAGAGACATGAAATCAAAAGCTCTACAAACAAGAGCTTACAGACACACCACTTCCAACCAAAATTCTTTTTCTATTACATAAACAATGCACTTTTTTTTTTTTTTTTTCTTTTTTAATTAATGTGTCATATCTTGATGGTTGAGCCATCTACTTACTTACCAATGCTACTCCCCTTTCTAAATTCATCTCTTACTTTAAACCAATTGGCTAAACGACAATTTCCCACCTCCCTAAATCATTATTCCCTATTATTCTCTTTATTTCAGCTTGGCTTTGTCTTTTACCGCTCAATATTATTACTCCTTCCATCACTTGTGATAAAACCTATTGTTAATACGGATACAAGAAAGATAATACGGTAGAAATCAACAAACAAGAATATAAATTTTATATTTGGTTCAGTAGTTAGACCCTGTTCTTTTGAGCTTCTGCGCAACAAAGCAGGTGTAACATGCAAGAGAAGAGTTTGTAGTGATATTGAAAAAGTAAAGATTAAGTTGCTAGGTTAATCTCTAAAGGAGTTTATATAGTACTCCTACTTCAAAACCATAATAGGCTCCAAAACAGAAAACCATACAAGAATATGTTTTCTAGTTATTAAAAGCATATTCTAACATACACTTTTAATTTTTAAAATAAAAGTTTCATTCCTCGGTTAGATAATTAAAGTCTATCATTCACTTACTATTTCTCTTAAAGTGGATAAAACTTCATATAACTCCGCTTCACAAATATTAAAATAGTACCATTACCTTTAAATTATATTCAACTTTTAATTTTGTTAATAATATCTCAGCATAACTCAAATATTAAAGCTATATGCTCAAAAAGATAAAACGAGCTTCTATTTTCAGATATTCATCTTTGCCTAATTTAATTATTCTCGTTTAAAATCATACAAGTATTAGGCTATTCTAAGAATATAAACTACTATTAAGTGGCAAGTTCTACTACAATTAATCATTTTTTTTTTTAAAAAAATAATAATATATGATGATGTATGTCTCTATTTAAAACAGTAATTTATATCTACTAATTCTATAGATCAAAGTTGGACATTGTCTTTTACTCTCGATCACCCACATTGTAGAAAGTAGATACACTTTCTGTTGTGTACTTTAGTCAAAATTTACATGTTGCTATGTTGTACACAAAACAAGTGGTCGTTTGGTCATTCATAGAGAGTTGCATTACATTTAGACAGGGAATTATAGAAATGGTTGAATTATAAAGCTTAATTGCAAGCAAACCATGTAAATATATTTTGTCAATAACCGAATAACTTATAACTTTATAGGAATTTGTGATGCAGTCTGAGCCTCATCACCTCTAAATTGAAAAAACTAAAACAAAATCCTATCATTAACAAAAACTAAATAATACTTCATCAAAGTTAGGACTTTTGATTGTTTACGTCACTTGACATAGTGTTAAAGTCAGCGTGATAGAAAAGTCGTCATGAATGAGATTAACTTATTAATTTCATATACTACCTCCGATTTTTATTATTTGTAACTTTAGGGTATTATTTGTGAAATATAAAATATTCTAAAGTTGCAAATAATAAAAATCAGAGGTAGTACTCCGTAATATTTTTGAGAAGAGAAGGTCAGATTTAATATATACCGCATTAATATATCAACTTTAAAAAGCTCTCACATAAAAGGATGTAATGACTATAAAACCATTAATCCAAAACTTCAACAATCCTATCTAAAATATTACAATTAAAAAAGAAAAAGAAAAAGTATATGACACAAAAAGAATAAAACTAAACAAGAAAGAATAAAAGTTAGGATTAAAATATACACCAACTTTCACCCCCCAAGTACAACCTCTTGGTGGGTAGCAAGTGCAAGGCTTTGGCAGTCGCGCAACTCTGAAAGCACACAAACATACACACACACTCACACTCACACTCACACTCACACTCACACTCACACTCACACTAGGCTATTATTTTTGTGTAGTCCTAAATTGTACTTGCATTGTTGTATATTTATATTATTACTCAAAAGAATACCACGCCAAAAACCCATACTCTGAATTCCTCCCAAGTCCCACCCATCTTTCTATCTATCTATCCCATTTACCCAAACCCCCACATGCTCCCCCTTCCATTTCCCAATTCACCTTCTTCATCATCATCTCCACCACCACCATTATTATCTTTTCTCATTACTCATTACTCTTACCTTCTATCAGTATAAACAAACATACAACGTCGTATCCATCTATCTATCTATTTATCTGTCTATACTATATCGTGTTATGTTAGCTAGCTAGAGGTAGCTAGTAACTAACTAACTGCGACGATTTGGGTTACCATTGAGAATTTCCTTGCTGGTGTTGAAAATTAAAATACACGACCATGATCACTCTATTGGATTTCTACCATGTAATGACGGCCATGGTGCCGCTTTACGTGGCTATGATCCTCGCTTACGGTTCGGTTAAGTGGTGGAAAATCTTTAGTCCCGATCAATGTTCGGGTATTAATAGATTTGTAGCGTTGTTCGCGGTTCCACTTCTTTCGTTCCATTTCATTTCGAGTAATAACCCGTACACGATGAACCTAAGGTTCATCGCGGCGGATACTCTTCAAAAAGTGATCGTCCTGACCGCGCTTGCGATCTGGAGTAGGGTAAGCAAGCGCGGTTCACTCGAGTGGACGATCACGTTATTTTCATTGTCAACGCTTCCAAACACACTTGTTATGGGTATCCCTTTATTAAAAGGAATGTACGGGGATTTTTCGGGTAGTCTTATGGTACAAATTGTTGTGTTACAATGTATCATTTGGTACACGTTAATGTTGTTCATGTTCGAATATCGAGCAGCTAGGATGCTGATATCCGAACAGTTTCCGGACTCTGCCGCCTCCATCGTGTCGATCCATGTCGACTCCGATGTCGTCTCATTAGACGGGCGGCAGGTCCTTGAGACCGAGGCCGAAATAAAAGAAGATGGAAAGTTACACGTGACCGTGCGCAGGTCTAACGCGTCACGGTCCGATATTTTCTCTAGAAGGTCACACGGGTTTTCTTCGACGACTCCTAGGCCGTCGAATTTAACCAATGCCGAAATTTACTCCTTACAATCGTCTAGGAACCCGACACCGCGAGGGTCGAGTTTTAATCACACCGATTTCTACTCAATGACCGGTGGTGGTGGTGGAAGGAGGTCAAACTTTGGTGCAGGAGATGTTTACGAGTTAGGTTTGACCACCTCTAGGGGTCCCACTCCAAGACCTTCTAACTTCGAGGAAGATAATGGGGGTAATAGTAACAGGCCTCAGCAGCCGAAGTACACACAATATCCCGCGCCTAATCCAGGGATGTTTTCTCCTACTAAGAAGGATAATAGTAGTACTGGAATAGCTAAAACCAATAGTATTACGAACACGATAACAACCACGAGTACAAATACTAATACTAATAGTAACGCGGCCGCGAAGAAGACTAAGGGTGGAGATGAAGCTGGGAAGGATCTTCATATGTTTGTATGGAGTGCTGGTAATTCCCCTGTATCGGATGTATTTGGTGGGCATGATCATTATGGTGTTGCAGCTGATCAGTCTATTAAGGAAGTTCGGATGAATGTGTCTCCTAGTAAAGGTAATTACTTATCACTCTCTACATCTTTCGTTGTCACGTTATTAGTTTAAATGAACTTTAACATGTGACTATTAATTTTGTATAGAGAATGTATTCATGTTGCAATGTTTACTACTACCTCCATTACAGGTTATGTGCAACGATTTGACATAAAATAGAGAGGAAAAATGTCTAATCGTTACACATAACCTGTAACGAAAGGTAGTATTATTGTTAACGTTTTTTATTTTCACTACCTTGCTTGATTAGATATTTTTTTGAAATTAATATTTTTTTTTGTTAATCACTTGTAAGATAATGTTGCCACTCCGATAATGTCCCTACCCAATATATTGACCCATCTTTCATTGGATTCATCAATGTCGCATGCATATTTTGAATCTTGTAAATGATACTCACTCCAAAATATTGCAAGGGAAAATAAAAAGATAATTTGGAAAATGGAGTTTTTTGAGGTGGGAATAATGATATGGTATGAATGACTAGAGCAATTATAATATAAAGACAATTTTTATTCATTGTTGAAATGAAAATAGAACTTTAATTATCAAAAGTATTTGGTGTAGCAAATTAAAATTCACTTCCTTTTTACTTTAGTTATCATTGGAACTAGTTTTACATGGATAGTTATTTTGAGTAAAGAATACTCATTGGAAAAGTGTTTTGAATTCTAAAAGTTAATTCTACACATAACACATCAAGTTTTTTTAATAAAAAATAAAGTATGGAGTATAATATATTGTGAATAACTAAATAAATCATAATTAATCTTTTTATTTTAAGATACGGAGTATGTCTATGTATTTTTAAGGTAGGTATGTGCTCATCGTATACCTACAAGGCTACACAAATTAATAATAAAAGTAATAAAAGATACAAATCCGTAAATGTTTAATATTTCGTATAACCGTTGGACACGTACAATTATTTGTCGTAATATGAATATTTTAAGCTACTTTGTGATTGACAAGTTAAAACGTTTATTCAATTCTTGTCTTATTATTGTATACTGTATTATTATTGTCATTTAATACTACTACTATTTTAATTTGTAGAAAATATTAATTAATTAGTTAAATATATTGTTAATGGCCAATATAGTGGAGGGTGGAAGAGATAATAATCAAGAAGAATTCATGAATGGAGATGAATTTAGCTTTGGAAATAGAGGAATAGAAGGAGAAATGAAAGAGCATGCGAAAGTGGATGATGGAAAGCCCAAAACTTTACCACCAGCTAGTGTTATGACAAGACTCATACTCATCATGGTTTGGAGGAAACTTATTAGAAATCCCAACACTTATTCAAGTTTAATTGGCCTTACTTGGTCTTTGGTCTCCTTCAGGTAACTTTTTCTTTTACTTGTATTCAATAGTATTTGTAACTTCAATTCACTTTAATTTGCATAATGAATTTATTGCCTTGGATATAAGTGTTTGGATCAACATTCTTGTTTCTAGTCACACGCGGGTTGTGGTTGTTATTTGAACAAAAGTCGTTATGATCTCGTGCTTGTAATCCACTATTGTCATCGTTATTTATTACTCACTCCTTATCAAACATGCGTTATTTCTTAAAGTTATTAACTATGCAATAATGCAACGTTACCTTTTAAAGTTGCAATTAGAATTTCACTTTCAATCATAAACTTATTGTTGTGGATAAGTGCTATATTGGTCATGCACGGGGTTTTTACATGAACAAAAGTGATGTCCTTTTAATGTAAATTCATTACTGTTATTGTCATTTATTACTGATGTCTGTCTATCAAACACGCGTTATTACTTAAAGTTAATCACTTAACGTAACGCTACTCGCTAGCTCTAACACATAAGTAGGTTTGTTATATGTGTATATGGCGGTGTGACATAAGAATTCATTACTGTTATTGTCATTTATTACTGTCTGTCTATCAAATGCGCGTTATTGCTTAAAGTTAATCACTTAACGTAACGTTACTCGTTCTAACACATATGTAGGTTTGTTATATGTGTGTATATGGCGGTGTGATATAAGTATATTCATTACTGTTAATGTTATTTATTACTGTCTGTCTATCAAACGCGCGTTATTGCTTAAACTTAATCATAACGTAACTCGATTTGACACATATGTGGGTTTGTTACATGTATGTTTATGGTGGTGTGATATAGGTATCACGTAGAGATGCCGGCCATAATAGCAAAGTCGATATCGATATTGTCGGATGCAGGGCTTGGCATGGCCATGTTCAGTCTAGGTCAGTCACAACATTTCTTAGTTTTGTGTTTCTCTTTCTCTACTTTATGCTTTTCAGATCAGGAAACATGCGCTCTTCTCTTTTTCTCTTTACTTTTATTGTCAAAAGTTGTTAACCAGCAAGTATTAGCCAACTGATCTTAATGCAAGTGTATGTCATCAATATAACTATTTTTCCTAGTGCTTGTAATCATGTCTTACCGTGGGCCTTTTCATTATTAGAATATTTTCCCTATATAATACTTATTGGAATCATGTAATTGGGCATCATCATACTTTGGAAATCTTAGAGTACATTTTATATATACTTATCTATATATATATATATATATATATATATATATATATATATATATATATATAGGACTTAATTAAATGAAGAGCAAAGTCTTATGTAGACTTGTAGAGTTTATTTATTTATTCACTTTATCCCTTAATATATACACAAGTTAGCTGATATGCATTTACAAAGCATATAGGAGGGCAAAAATATAAATTTGACAAGCTTCTGGAAAAAAAGTGACTCTACCGTGGTACATTATAATGGACCATTATGCATGTATTGTATAATATACCATTAAAGTATAAGTTATCTTAATAGTACTATTATACATGCAGTGGTATTTTTTACCCTCCTATAAGTTGAATATTTTCCCTAAAATACTTATCACCTGTTACCTGTCACTTTCTGAGCTAACTAGTGTATGAGAAATGCTAGTTTATATTTAGTAAAGTAATTACTTATTTTCTATACCACAAAGCATTTAAAAGGAGTGTATGTTTGAATTGAATACATTTGTTTGAAACTAATTAATACTCACTTGTACCAAGTATAAACAATATGAATCAATTAAGTTTATTTACACGTACAATTGATAGATATGACAAATAAATTTGAACAAAATCAGTATTAAATTACATGAATTTTCATAACGATAGAATATGCATATTTTTTAGAAAAGATCAGTTATGATTAATTAAGTTAATTAAAATTAAGATATTAATTTTGTGGGTGATTAAAAATGAAATACAGGATTGTTCATGGCATTGCAACCAAGGATAATAGCATGTGGAAATTCGGTAGCAACATTTTCAATGGCAGTACGATTCCTAACTGGCCCAGCTGTCATGGCTGCTGCTTCCATTGTTGTTGGCCTTCGTGGTGTTCTTTTACACGTTGCCATCGTCCAGGTCACTACTTCTCACTTTTATCCCACCTTTTTTTTAATCAACCTTTTTATGATTTTATTCTATGAAATTAATTTGAAATTATACTTCATATTATCCTTACTTTCGTTTAGGGTATGTATCAATGTATGTGCCTTGAAATTAAACTGATACCTCCTCCTTTAAGTAATACTCTTTTCGTCTTAATTTAATCAGATAATTAGACTTAGTTTTTAACAAATTAAATAACCCTCTTTTACTCTTAAAAATTAGGTTTAACAACAAAAAATTGGATCACTTCATTATCTCCTATCTCATTTACTTTTTAATAAGTGAGCAAACTCAGGTTAGTATATATTCAACTCAATACATGATTCATTAATGCCATAAAAATAGACCTGTGTTACCCAAGTAAGAGGCTAAAACTTGAGATTGAACCATTTACATACCTAAGCGAACTTTTATTAATAAATCAATTGGTGACAGGTGAAATAACTTTTGATTCATTTTAGTTATATCTCTTATATTCTCCTATTTTACAAGTACTTTATCAAATTCGTTAGTACATCTTCTAACCCTAATCAAAAGACGTTATTGAATATAAATCTCATGTCTTTTTTGGTTTAATATTGTTGAACAAAACACAGGCAGCACTCCCACAAGGAATAGTTCCCTTTGTATTCGCCAAGGAGTACAATGTTCATCCTGATATTCTTAGCACAGGGTAATTACAAGCATCTCTAATAGATATTAATTATCTTTATGCTCAAATTTTCTTAATTAATTATCTAAATTAGTTTATTAACTTTTATCTAATTTCTATGCAGCGTCATATTTGGAATGCTAATCGCGCTACCAATCACACTCCTCTACTACATTTTGTTGGGTCTATAGACTTTGTTTTAATTTGTTGTATGTAAACTTCAAGACTAAGTGGTTAATTAATTCTAGGGATAAGGGGGAGTAAGTAAGAGGTTGATTTTATGAGTTTTTTTCTTTGCAAAAAATTATGTAAAATTATGCTTGTAGTCCATTTATTTATAGATAAAATGAATCCTGAAAATTTTAGTTTATACTAACTCTTTTCACCTTTAGCTATTAGCTCCTCAACAGGTTCATCATAACATATACGAGATCATAATGAAAGAGATTTATTATATGTGTAAAAGGATGACTCATGCATGGTGTATTCTATTAATCAGATTTGATGAGATTACTTAAATTATGTAAATTTAACCAAACTTAGCTAAACATGTTATTAAAAGTTATTTTAGTTGTAAAATAAACATGATGAGCAAATCTTATAGGAACTTATTCTCATAAACTTAACTAATCTAAAGTTATTGATTATGTATACACTTATATTCCTTGAAATAAATAAATTGCGAAATTAAGTTCTACACAACATGTACTCCATGATCAAAATTTTATTTCAAGGATTTTAAAAATAATTTCTAACACCCCGGCCCATAATCAAATTACAAAAATATTTAAGAAATTCAATTTAATTAGATGTGGACAAGGGCTACAAGGCATACCCATTGAACACGATCATAAGATTTGCTCATATCAATGTTAGTGGATCATCTCAACCATGGTTGAGACCCAGGAATATTATTTATACTTTATCACTCTCCCTCACATGAAAGACCCTTTAGGCTTGAAATGTGGATGTAGCACAGGCCCTCCCATACTTGACGCGAATTAATTTAACTTGAAGGAGGGGTGGATGAGATTTGAGCCTGCGACCTCTATGTCACATTGGCTCTGATACCATATTAGTTAAACATCTCAACCAAAATCTTAAGCTGATGGTTGAGACACAAGAATATATTTTATACTCTAACCAAAAACCTATCAATCAACTATTATGACGACCTTGTAATTCTTTCCTTTTTTTTTTTTTTTTTTTTACTTGGCTAATATTTTTTCTAAGCTTTATTGGGCTAGGAAGACGTTATCTTGTTGTTTTGCATAGGAGATGAACGAGGCCAGTTTGAAAGAGCTTAAAAGCTCCACAAGTACTTGGTCACTTAGTGAAGCCTCTTGGTGATGCATTGAATACAATTTCGTAGACGACATTATTGCAAATGCTTATATATGGGCCTAAAATAGATCTAGTGTCTCCATACTATCCTAGGAGACTTAACTTTGAAATCAAGACAATGCCCTTTTTTAATTTTCCTCTTTAAGAATTATGAAGTTCTATATTTATATCTATATATATCTATACATTTCACACATGTAAATGTAATGGTGTCAATTCAAGCATCTAGGTCGGGTTGATTCAAAACCCTATATATATGTAGGTAGTGTATGCTTTAAATTTCTAAATTATGCATACACCAAATAATTTAAAAAAGAAAATAACTATTATAGACAATTGAAGTACTTTAGATGGACATTATTCTATCGTCCTTGTTGCCTAATACTCTAATAGGCTAATACAATAGAGATCATGGACCATAACACGTATATTGAGTCATTGACACGTTCATTATAGAGACCAAATCTTTCCACTTGTTACATAAAGTCGTTTTTAAGAGCTTGAATTTTGTTCCGGTTGCACCCCTCTAGCAAAATTAAAGGAACATATGGTTCATGTATCTCTATTAATATTCCGATCCATTTGATTTTTTGCTTCTTCAAGCAAATATAGAGCCAAATTCACCAAATATTCGTTTTTATCTATTTAAAAATTATAATACCACGTAAAAAAATATTTCCTTTCTATAATCTTACATAGTTCTTTGTACGTGATTCCTTTAGGTCTTTATTGAAGGCATCTCACCTTCCCAATTTTTTTTTCTCCAAGGCTAATTTTCTTATAGTTTCTCAAGTTAGTTCAATTTTGCGAGCATTTTCTAATAATTATGCACCGCCCATTTCTTTATTTTGAATGGTCGCTTTCCCTCCTTTTCTTTTATTGTTGAAAGATCTCCCCTCTATGTACTTTTTCTGTCGAAACATATTCGTAATACTTTGTCTTTTATGCTCATTAATTGATGTGTAATTTTAACCACTAATATATCTAATTATATATGTATGTAAACTTGTAAGAAAAATATTACCTATGACTAATTATATGTATGTATATTTGTCGCACTAGCTACTTTGATAATTTAAGTTAACCACAATTTTTTAAAAGATTAATTGATAATTGATGACTTCAAATTTTATTAGATGGTGTTCTGTAGTTGTAGCAAGTAAGTTGGGATAAATAGCTTAATTAAAAAGTGATACAATAAGTAATTAATTTAATACGGAAAAGTAGTAAAAATGTGGTCAAAATTTATTTATATACAAAATGAGCAAAATTTGTTTAGAAAGAGTACGTGTTGCAATTATTTAGAAATGGAAGAAGTGCTGATTATGTTTCAATTATATATGGAATATATCTCTGAAAGGGACTTTTTTTATTTTTTAAAAAGTAATTTATGTTATTTATCCATATGTCTTAAATTTGTCATTAACTCTTCCCTTCCACTTGTTAAATATTCCTTATTTGTTTTGTTTAGTTGTTTTCATTTCTCATGAAGTTAAACTTCTACGTACTATTTAGATGGATAAAATGAAATCATGAAAGAGACATTTAATATAAATAAATAAGACTCATATAGTCATATACAAGTAGAAAACAAAGAATAAATTCATAGTGAACTATTAACTAAATTCCAAATATAAAGTTAAAAAGCTCTATAATGATTATTTATATATTATATGTACATGTATTCTACCAATTAATTATAAAAAATGTTATCAACATGGAATAATATTAACCTAACAACATATTTTCTATATGATTAGTAAATACGCGTTACCATGGAATCAAATTTGCGTATATAAATACTACCTGCATATAATTCTATCATCCAACAACGAACATATAAACAATTTCAACTAAATTAAACTCGAAAACATTGTCATGTCGTCTCCATCATTTCCTCCTCATATTGCAAGGGAGGGCATCATATTGATGAAGCAATTGGACGAGAAGAGAGAGCGAACATCGAGGGTCGCTCGACCGCAAACTCGGCCACAAATCCATGTATATCGTCCGCCAATGGAGAGAACTATTGATAGTGAGCAAGCAGCTAGATTATTTGGTGGAGTGATGATTTGTGAACATTATCATGCTAAGAAAGGAAAGAAATCCTCCTTTGGAAGTAGGGCTTATTACTAAAAATATGTAGTGTATGTAAATTTTATGTAATGCATGAATATATGTCAACTAGTTGAAGAATTTCCCTAGTACCATATTTAAGTTGTACTAAGTGGTGGTTGTAGTTCAAGGCATCTTGTAATAATAAGTTTGTCAATCTCATCTTTATAATATAAATAGGTATTGCTACTAAATACTAATCTAGTAATCTATGCGTGCAAGAGTTGTAATGCAATGATTGCATCTATATGATATTTTCAAAAAATATAATATTAAATTTAGCTTTAAATTTAATTAAGAGGAATAAATTTAAATGTGCAATGTCAACAATCCAAAAATAAATAATAAACCTCAATTATTGCCATTGTCCTAATTTAAATGCGCAATGTCAACAATAAAAAAATATATACATTGATACTTGTTTTCTATTTGTGTCCCATCTTATACGGGGTATGTTTTTTTTTTTTTGGGTGCAAACGAAGGGTAAAGCCCTGAGATACGAGGTATATATGTATTGATCTTAAAACTTATCACTCCTTAATTCATGTATAGCAATAACTTGCATTGCATTACCCACTATATTATTTAGAATGCTTAATTAACCTTAGCTTTAATTGATTGAAAATATGTGTATAATTTTCTCATTTTATTTCCCAAACAATGAACTATAATATTTACTTTTCTTTTTCGTTGGTTTTAGAAAGAATTACAAATTTTACTTTATCCCTATGTTAGCATGGAATATGGATACATAATCCTACCTCCGTTAATGGTTATCTGCAACTTTCCCATTAACGGAGGTAGTAGTTTACTCATACATATTGTCATCCATGTTAAATTGTTACATGTATTGAAAGATATAATCTCTACTTCTCTAGTCGCCTTTCTTACTTTTTACACTCAAATAAAATCTATACAAATTAAAGCAAGTTGAATTTTCGAATATACGGAGGAATTTATATCTTATCAAATTAAATTGGTCGGCTTGACTGAATGACATTTGTAGCTTAATCAACAAGTTGATCCCATATCATCGGTCTTGCAGATCGAATTTTCTCATAAATATTCTTCTTCAATAATTCAGTTTGGTTAAGAAAGAATCCTTCTTAAACTTTTAGCCCACCCAAACTAAAGTAGATTGAGACCTCTTGAATACAATCCTCATCTATCATACATGTGAGATAACTTCGAGTAATTATGTAAAAATAGCCTGTCGTTAGTATTAGCTAGAGCGTCCTCCTTATTAATGCCAACCAACTTAATTTGCTGATAAAGTTTTCGAGGTTGGATCCAAATATTTGGCACCAGAGCTTGAATATATATATATATAAATATATATATATATATATATATATATATATATATATATAGCTAGAGCGTCCTCCTTATTAATGCCAACCAACTTAATTAGCTGATAAAGTTTTCGAGGTTGGATCCAAATATTTGGCACCAGAGCTTGAATATATATATATATATATATATATATATAGAGCGTCCTCCTTATTAATGCCAACCACTTAATTAGCTGATAAAGTTTTCGAGATTGGATCCAAATATTTGGCACCAGAGCTTGAATATATATATATATATATATATATATATATATATATATAACAAACCGATTTTACTATATACCAATCTTCTATATATTATACTAAAAGACAAGCGCCTCAATGTGAGGATGACAAATGTCACTCTCATTGGCTTGTCTTATGTATAAAATATATCTATATAATTACTGTTTACCTATTCAAGCATAGTTATTTTTGTTCAACTTTAAACAATAAAAGCAAGTTTATATACATGCATAAGATATTCATGATTTCCTAACATAAATATTGATTTAATTTTTAATAATAAAATATATACTTTCCAATATTATATATAATCCATAACGTCTTTCCAATCTTT